AGGACGATGATATCCCCGCAGAATTATACGGGCGAGAATCCCTTATGGGAAAGCAGCGAACCATACTTTGATTCTTTCTACTGGTAAGAATTCAGGTTACTTATGTTGAACAAAAAGTACTAATGTTTTCAAAGTATATGGGATGCATTCAGATCTCAGCTCCCATTTCTCACTATCGTCGATCCATCTGCCCTATCAGAAATGATCCGTAGTCTCCTCGATACCTACAAGAACGTTGGCTGGCTTCCAGATTGCCGTATGAGTCTCTGTAAAGGATTTACTCAAGGTGGTTCAAACGCTGATAATGTCATCTCCGATGCATATGTGAAGAATCTCACGGGAATAGACTGGCAACTAGCCTATGAAGCTGTGGTAAACGATGCAGAAAACGAGCCACTAGAATGGTCCAACGAAGGACGCGGTGGTCTCATGTCATGGAAAGCTCTAAACTATATACCCTACCTCGATTATGATTACTTAGGTTTCGGCACGAACTCTAGAAGTATTTCTAGAACATTAGAGTATTCTTATAACGATTTCTGTATCTCGACCCTTGGCAGAGGTTTAGGGAAACCTGAACATGCGAAATATTTGCATCGCGCGACAAATTGGCAGAATCTGTGGAAGGAAGATCAAACTTCGTCTATTAATGGTGTAGATACAGGATTCACGGGATTCTTCCAGCCGAAATATCTGAATGGGACATGGGGGTACCAGGATCCGATACTTTGTAGTCCGCTGGATTCCTTTTGCAGTTTAACAAGTAATCCACAGGAGACTTTTGAGGATAGCGTTTGGGAGTATCAATTGTAGGTATCGTCTCTTTTGATGTGGCACATTCTTTCTACTGACAATTAAACAGTTTCGTACCGCATGATATCGCGACTCTAATCGATCTAGTTGGTGGACCAGAGAAGTTCATCGCTCGTCTCGATTTTTTGCATACAAGCGGTCTGACGGACATCGGAAATGAACCTTCGTTCTTGACAGTGTTTCTTTACCACGTTCGTCTCCCCTCTCTATCAATTTCATACCCCGCTAACCCCTCGCTAGTACGCTGGCCGTCCTGCCCTCTCAGCATCCCGTGCCCATATGTACATACCCGCCTATTTCAATACCTCAACTACTGGACTACCTGGTAACGACGATACCGGCGCCATGGCCTCCTTTTCCGCGTTCTCAATGATGGGATTGTTCTCCAACCCTGGACAGAACGTCTATCTAATCATCCCACCCTTTTTCGAATCTCTGAGTTTCACAAATGAGAATGGAAATAAAAGTACGATCAAGAACATTAATTGGGATGGAGGTGTAAGGAATGTTTTTATACAGAGTGCGAAGGTGGATGGAGTGATGTGGAATAAGAGTTGGATGTGAGTTGTCCCCCGATGATATGGGATTAAGAAAAAAATGTGCTAATGCCGCGTGAATTTAGTGGACATAAATTTTTCACGGAGGGACAGACGTTGGAATTAGTTTTAGGGCATACAGAAAGCGATTGGGGGACTAAGAAGGAGGACTTGCCTCCTAGTATGAAAATTGGTCATATGAACCTCTAATCGAAGGATTTGACAAGGATATAAAGAGAGTCGGTATTTCAATTCTTTAACTGTTCAAGGTCTACTTGATATCTCAAGAGAATTCCTGATCGCGAATTTTAAGTTAGTTGGAGAATGCAGATTCTCTAATCATGCAGTCCAATCCTGAGATCTTTATAAATAATTTCTGTCTACATGAATGATCACTGCATGCTCTTTTCCATCGACAAGAAGATCTGCAAGATCGACTGCTCCTTAATGCTTTGCCCACTTTTCGCCAAATATATGAGATATTATTGTCATTAGATTAGTGGCCAAATATCTTCAAACTTTCTGAATGTTAGAATGATAGCTTGAATATTATAGGGGAGTCCCCGCTTGTTTGATTTCGCAGCCGAGTTGCGACCTCGTGCACTCTCAACTCTACTCGCTCCCCGATTGCCTTATGTAAATTTCGAGAGTGTTTTCTGATACGCGAGAGAAAATTTGTCTGTGCTAAATCATCTTTTCTTGATCACATACTCTCTTAGTCGAATCTAGAAATACTCGAGACTTTCGATTGTAGGACAGCATTTGAACTACTTTCTGAAAAGCTATGCTGGATTCGTTTAATCTGGTATTCCGACCAGTTTTGCCCTTCTTCTTCCCAGCCGATCTGCAGCTATTGTTGGCGTAGACACCAAGAGGGTTTCTGCAAGTCCAGGTTGAAGTACAAGAATGGAGAGCTTCCATGTTGTGAACATCAGAAGCAGGGAGTAAGGAAAGTATGTCATCTGACCATTTTATTTTTGAACGCTGGTAGGCTTTTCAACTCTACTATAATTGAATATATTTTGTTGATTAAACTTATGAAAGTTCGGTCAGCCCTACCAAGATGCAAATTGAAAAGCGAAATGAGATCTTCGCAGCGCGAAACCTTGTAAGTCGACCACTCTACTTTCAGGCCATCCCTGTTTTGGGCCACCCTTTTATACCAAAAATCGCTTTTTTAGCCTATTAATATCTTTATCAATATATAATCTAATATAATAAAAATTTGAATATATAAGTCAACTACCCCACTTTCCGACCACCCCCTGTTTCCGACCACCTAAAAAATTCATATTATCTACACTTAAAACTTTAATAACTCAATAACTATTGAACTTCAATGAAATCGCCTGTAGAATCACTTTCTATAGCACTAGAGCTATCATCTACCTCATCTTCACGATCTCCAGCTTCAATTTGTGTACGCCTTATAGCTCTAATCCCTGCGAACTTCGAATTTGGAGATACCACAACCTTTCGCCTTTTTCTAGGTAATGCTTCATCTAATTGATATTCTAGCTTTCTAATCTTATTCTCTGCCTCTAAGAGTTCATAATCCTTAGCATCGAATCCTTTTATAATCTTGCGAAATAGTAATCTTCGTGTTGGCAAATCGATCTCCTTCTCTTGAATCATTATATCTCTATATTTTCTGATATCGGCTCCTTTTTGAGGGGTTTTCCATTGAATAAACGATGAATGTATATTCCATTGAAGAATAGGATCATCATCAGATTCAGGATTAAGTGATAAAACCTCTCTATTGCTATTTTCGAGCAAAAGTCGACTCATAAGAGGTTTAGCCATATTTTTGGGCCAAAGACCACTAGCTTGCCACCCAGACTTGATATTTTGAATAGTTAAACCTTCTATTCTAGCCTTCTGATAGCAAGAAAGGAAATTGCGCTTTCCAATTGGTGAGGAATCGGATAATAGACTTAATTTATTAAGTTCGATTCGATATGCACTTTTTAGGGGTGAGAACACAGATAAATCGAGTGGTTGTAGTACGTGTGACGTATGTGGTGGGAGAAATAAGAGATATATGTTGTTATTAAAGCATTCTAACATAAATGCTGTAGTTTCATGGCTTCCGTGTCCGTCCAAAATGAGGAGTCTTGAATTTTCCGGCTGAATAGGGGTAGTTTGAGGGATATAGATCTTTTTCAGCCATTCTAAAGCTGTAGCATCTGTAGTCCATCCATTTTCTGTAGCGGTAAAGTTCCAACCCTTGAATAGAGTCAAATCTGTTGGAAACCATTGTTGTTGAACTGATTTTCCCTTATATATTACAAGGGGAGTAATGCTTTTTCCATTGGCTGAAATGCATTCTATAAAAGAGGTCCAAATTCGAGATCCAGGTTGCTTTTTTTGAATAAATCTTCGATCAGTGCTTCCTACTACTAGTCCATTAAGACCCTGACCCTCCATTATACCTGCTTCATCCATATTCCATCTGTTGGCCGGCTTAATAGCCTTGATTTCAGGGATTGCGAGGTTCCGGAACCACTTCTTAATAATATCAGATGTAGCACCTGAAACTCGTGCAGAATCGATTTGATGTTGCTTCTTAGTTCCAATATTAGGATGCCTTCGAAAAAAGCTATGTATCCATTTCTTTCCAAGTGAGGGATCCTCCCCTCGTACAATAAGGAGGTGCTCTGCCATCTCTCTGATTTGACGATGTGTAGGGCTAGTACCAAGAGCTTCCTGTACTAATATCCATTCTGCTAGTCGATTCTCCTGAATTGGAGATAACTTTTGAAGTATTTGGGCGCCTTTTTGATGCGAAACTCCACCATATATTCGATCGTGAAGTGTGGTACGTGGAACACCATAATCCAAGCTAGCTCTTCGTATGCTTGCTCCATTTGTAATCGCTCTAAGAGCCTCTGCGATATCTTCTTCGGTATATCTATTCTTCATATCACAATTATAATAATATCAAAATTTCAAATCAATTGATTAAAGCATTGTTGAGTTATTCAAAGTATAAATTTTATAATTACTCAAAGCGGTGTGGTTTTTGAGGTGGTCGAAAAGAGGGGGTGGTCGGAAAGTGGGGTAGTTGACTTATGTAGTTAGTCGTAAAGCGCACGCGCGAGTATAATTTCTTGCAAAGCGATTCCCACTGCCCAGTGACCGCTGTCAGCCTTTTTTGTTGCCTACTTTGGCTCTTGCTTCCTCGTCTAATAACCTAGTCTCCATTTCTCCATGCACGAATATCATCATGATGTCATTTGCTGGAGTACCTGGACTGGAGATTTATTTCACACATGCTACTGTACCAATGCTAAAACTCAAGTTTCGATAGATTTCTCAACATCTAGTTTGCGGTCGTTTTGGGATGAAGGACAGCTAGCCATCCTTGTATATGCACTGTAGTAGAAGTATAATTTTCTAGAAAATTGAAGTATTTTGAAGTTGTATTTATTGATGTTTAACTAAGAATATCCTAGTTCTGGGAATCATACAAACCTGGTATTTCAACAGTTCAGCAGAACTTTTGGTGCATGGTGATCGCAGATATCTTACCGCCTATAAGATTCTCACAGTATTGGGCGTAGGCGGGGCCGTCGATGGACGAGCAGTCGGGGTCTGCAATAAGTCTCATGCATATGCATGAGGCTCCCCTTCACTTGAGCTACCGTATTACATTTTCCCCTCCTTTGTGGGCAAGGAGAGAAATGCCAACTGCTCCATATGCTTTCCTAGATGCTCTCTGAATGCCATGAGCCTCATGTATTTGTCCTTTGTTGCTTCGGCCATGCTTTCTTCCCAGTTATCGCAGAACGGACACGCCGTCGCAGAAACATCATCCACTGGGTCCTCACTTTGTAACAGCAATGCTCTGAGTTGCGACCCTTTTTCATTGATCTGATGCCCTGATCTCAAATGGTCTCCCCAGGCTAGGGAAGATAAGAATGGAGTATGCAGACACATTGGACACTGCCACTCTCTACGGTGGTTGAATAGCTCGTGCGCAAACCACCGATCTAAACTACCGAACATCTTCAATTCGCATTCTTTGAACGTACATATGTAGGGTTTCAAATCTTTAAATATATGTTCCCTATCTTCGTATAAGCAATCTTTGCATTAAATATCAGTGGGAGATGGGCATCTATACTTCCATGCTGCATGATCTTGAGCTACCAGCTCCATGCGACAAAATGGACATTGGAATGGAACATCATACTCGATCTGAATATTCTCAAATGCCATCAATGGATGAGATGAAATACTAGGCTTTTCCTCAGCCACTGCAATATTGTCGCAACTCATCAATCCCTTAGTATAAGTTTCAATATATTTGAGGTATTGTCGTCGTCTTGTCAATGCTTTTCCAAGACGGGTAATTAACCAATCGTCAACGCCACTGTCAAATCCGTCTTGTTCTCTTATGAGACAAATATCAACATTGGGATCGAACTCAAGTTGATATATGGCTGCTGCGCTGAGAAAGTCGTCTCCATACGAGATTATCCGAACAAGTTTAGAAACCTCGAACAAGCTTGTGTTTGCATTTTCCATTGCTTTTGACAGTTCTTGTGTTTCCGAGGTTCCTTCAGACTTCATAGTCATTCCCTCGTCAGAATCGCTAAGCTCTTGTGGGGGCCATGACTCGTTCACTTTATTTTGGGAGATGATTAACCGGGCTGGAAGTTATCAGCAAGATTCATATTAAAAATGGGCTTACATACCTTCACAGAGCGACTCTTGGAGATTTCCCAGTATCCTCATAACTGTTCGTTGTATTTCCGTACCATCGTTGAGGCTAAACTCGAGTTTCTTCCTCAACGCAGCATCTTGAAAGGTTGAGACATTGCAAGCCCATGCCTCAAACCGTGTGAATGTACCCTGAATAAGAAGTAGGTGTTAGTCACGGTCATATCTTTGACTAATGGCGTCGGAAGGGTTGATATCTTGAAGTACTTGAATGACCGATCCATAACGTGTCTTGCAATCCATGCAACGAAAATAGATTTCTTCATTTTTGTCAAGCAACGGAGTTTGCATTACACTCTTCTCACCAGTTCCGTGGGATGTCATTATTCGCTTTCGTAATCCCAGAGTCTTTATGATGAGATGTTGTGGTGTAATTCCAAAATGTTGAGAAGTTACATCGTTGGGGATTTTATTAGTTATTATTTACAACATAGTTGCCGTATACACTCGCTACCACAGGACGCACTAAGCTGATTTCAATCTGAAGTTATTCCTTATTCCATATTCCAGGTAGAAGAACTTCGAATAGAGGCCATTACGCACACAGTTTCCACACTTCATTGATGCTATCGCAACTAAAAAGCAATAGTTCTACAAGATGCTTGAGCTGTTTCTACTCTCCGCTCATGTCCCTAGGAATAAAGTTCTCCTTTTCTTAACGAAAAAAAGCTAAGTCGGGTACCCTACTTTCGGGCCACCCCCCTTTTGGGCCACTTTTTACACCAAAAATGGAATTTTTAACTTTCTTATTTATGGATAGAATTCACTGAAAATTTATATATATATAATTTAGATCATTTTTAGCTTACCTTGAAAATTTCAGATTTTAGGAATTTTCTGTATTGAGATCTAGAGCTTTAAAATATCGATTCTTAAATTTGTATGGGAATCACATACAAATTTGAAACTTTTATAAAATCTTTAATAACTTTTTAATAAAAATTATTAAAAATAAACTATAAAATTTTATTATAAATTTATAACATATTTATCTTGAAGAATTTAGAAAAAAAAGAAAATTTTCTATAGATAAATACTTAAAAGAATACCCTTAAAATTACAGGGATTATTTATACTATTTTAAACTTATTGTATACTATATCTTTATATTTATTAATTTTTTTTTTCTTTTTTTTTTTTTCTATATAGATTTAAGTTCAAAACTTTCAAAAAGATATATAGTTTTCTTTTAATAGTTATTATTAAAAAGTTATTAAAGATTTTATAAAAGTTTCAAATTTGTATGTAATTCCTATACAAATTTAAAAATCGATATTTTAAAGCTTTAGATTCCAATACAGAAAATTCCTAAAATTTTCAAATTTTCAAGATAAGCTTAAAATGGCTTAAATTATAAGTCAACTACCCCACTTTCCGACCACCCCCTCTTTTCGACCACCTCAAAAACCACACCGCTTTGAGTAATTATAAAATTTATACTTTGAATAACTCAACAATGCTTTAATCAATTGATTTGAAATTTTGATATTATTATAATTGTGATATGAAGAATAGATATACCGAAGAAGATATCGCAGAGGCTCTTAGAGCGATTACAAATGGAGCAAGCATACGAAGAGCTAGCTTGGATTATGGTGTTCCACGTACCACACTTCACGATCGAATATATGGTGGAGTTTCGCATCAAAAAGGCGCCCAAATACTTCAAAAGTTATCTCCAATTCAGGAGAATCGACTAGCAGAATGGATATTAGTACAGGAAGCTCTTGGTACTAGCCCTACACATCGTCAAATCAGAGAGATGGCAGAGCACCTCCTTATTGTACGAGGGGAGGATCCCTCACTTGGAAAGAAATGGATACATAGCTTTTTTCGAAGGCATCCTAATATTGGAACTAAGAAGCAACATCAAATCGATTCTGCACGAGTTTCAGGTGCTACATCTGATATTATTAAGAAGTGGTTCCGGAACCTCGCAATCCCTGAAATCAAGGCTATTAAGCCGGCCAACAGATGGAATATGGATGAAGCAGGTATAATGGAGGGTCAGGGTCTTAATGGACTAGTAGTAGGAAGCACTGATCGAAGATTTATTCAAAAAAAGCAACCTGGATCTCGAATTTGGACCTCTTTTATAGAATGCATTTCAGCCAATGGAAAAAGCATTACTCCCCTTGTAATATATAAGGGAAAATCAGTTCAACAACAATGGTTTCCAACAGATTTGACTCTATTCAAGGGTTGGAACTTTACCGCTACAGAAAATGGATGGACTACAGATGCTACAGCTTTAGAATGGCTGAAAAAGATCTATATCCCTCAAACTACCCCTATTCAGCCGGAAAATTCAAGACTCCTCATTTTGGACGGACACGGAAGCCATGAAACTACAGCATTTATGTTAGAATGCTTTAATAACAACATATATCTCTTATTTCTCCCACCACATACGTCACACGTACTACAACCACTCGATTTATCTGTGTTCTCACCCCTAAAAAGTGCATATCGAATCGAACTTAATAAATTAAGTCTATTATCCGATTCCTCACCAATTGGAAAGCGCAATTTCCTTTCTTGCTATCAGAAGGCTAGAATAGAAGGTTTAACTATTCAAAATATCAAGTCTGGGTGGCAAGCTAGTGGTCTTTGGCCCAAAAATATGGCTAAACCTCTTATGAGTCGACTTTTGCTCGAAAATAGCAATAGAGAGGTTTTATCACTTAATCCTGAATCTGATGATGATCCTATTCTTCAATGGAATATACATTCATCGTTTATTCAATGGAAAACCCCTCAAAAAGGAGCCGATATCAGAAAATATAGAGATATAATGATTCAAGAGAAGGAGATCGATTTGCCAACACGAAGATTACTATTTCGCAAGATTATAAAAGGATTCGATGCTAAGGATTATGAACTCTTAGAGGCAGAGAATAAGATTAGAAAGCTAGAATATCAATTAGATGAAGCATTACCTAGAAAAAGGCGAAAGGTTGTGGTATCTCCAAATTCGAAGTTCGCAGGGATTAGAGCTATAAGGCGTACACAAATTGAAGCTGGAGATCGTGAAGATGAGGTAGATGATAGCTCTAGTGCTATAGAAAGTGATTCTACAGGCGATTTCATTGAAGTTCAATAGTTATTGAGTTATTAAAGTTTTAAGTGTAGATAATATGAATTTTTTAGGTGGTCGGAAACAGGGGGTGGTCGGAAAGTGGGGTAGTTGACTTAGCTGATGTTCATGAGCAGTCTCATAGTGATCAGTGTGCGGAGTCGAAAGCAGGGAAAGAGTGATTTTCAAGGAATTACTGAAAGAACGCACCAAGCTCCGGCCACAGGGAGGTCGTGGAAGACTTCCAAGCCAGATCAATTATCGAGATGGTATTGTGTATAGTGGAATGGGGAAATTCCGCCATTGAATTTTTGTGGTTAGAAAGATACTGTGTTTGTTTCCCTCAGCGTTGAAAATATTTTTCGCCTCCAAAATCCCTTGATTTCAATCACTTTTCTCGTCCTTCCTCTTTCGAGACTCCCAAATCAAGCTTCCAGCAAGCACACCTGCACATAACCCCTCAAAAACTGCGACTTTTCTCCACGGTCCAGCGTCAACCCAAAAAATTCCAACAGCAATCGTCCGTCCAACAACTGACAACCACATGGCAAGCTTGTCTCCTCTCTTAGCGGCGACGAGGTAGAGCGCGCTACCATGTATAACCGTGATCAGTATAACAGAGCAACTTCGATCTTTAAGATCAGATGAAGAAATTTCAGTATTCTTACCCTATTGACAGACATGATAAAGCTAAAACATGAATAGCGTGTTTCGAGTCCGTAAGCAAAATTTCAGCATTTTTCCTTGCGGCTGTAGAAGATAAAAGAGGGGCGGCTCCATTCAGAAAATTGAAACCACCCTGGACCGCAAAAATAATTGATGATAGAGGAGGCATTTTTGAAGCTTGCATTTCTGCGAACAGATGATTTGGGCAACATTGCGATTTATGTATTCCTGGAGTGTAGTACAAGAGTCTTCAAAGAGATAACTCGTGATCTTTCAGCGCAAATGGAACAATACCCGTGGCGGAGATTATGCCGCAAATGACTGCGGGGTTTGGGTCTCAAGCCAGAGATTGAAGATGTGGTACGATGAATAGAAATTCATAGCCTATCGGGAGGCATGGTGGCTTAATGTTTTTCGGGGGTTGAATCCTTCCATGTTTTTCGCTGGTTAACTTACTGACTTCAATAAATTCAATTTTGCTTGTAGGATGCCATTCTCTCCCTCGAATTACCGCGAAGGGTCCTCAGACTTGGTAACTTTCAGAGCTCCCCAGTTTGTCTATCAAATCGGGGTTTTCGACATAATGAATTCTAGAAAAGGGATGCTCGGATGCTATTAATTCAGCCATATTTTCCCCAAATCTCCATTCTGACGATGAAGCTAGGCTGGAGGTGGCTAGAGCCTAAACTCGGTTAGATGACCCCTGAAAGTGAGATTACCTAAGGAAGCAAAGGTCGATAAATTCTTCATTCTCTATTGGATGATGCTTATCGTTTTATTTGATGAATTTCATCAATGCAGCATGTCTAATTGTTGGTCTGCCCCCTTTACTCGTTAGTAGTGACGAGTGGAGGAATATTTGGTTTTAAATGAAGCCAAGCCTGGTAGTTCTTAGAAACGCTAGACAAGTGATATTACAGAAAAAAAAGCGACGAGGTGACTACGATATAGTTACTTCAAAAGAAGTTCGGAATTTTTACCATCAGCAGTTCTTTCCCGTTTGAGAGTCGTTTCCCATACTCTCCTTCTGTGTTTACTTCCCACACTCCTCGTTCAAGTGTAAGATGGGTTTTCAAGAGAATGTCTCCAAACCCTTTTACGGAAAATGAAATCACAGAAGCCAATGTGAGCGATTTAGCGATGCGCAAGGAAACCCACCAAGCGGAAGATACGAGAATGTATGCCAAGTTTTCAACTGTGGTCTTGATATCAATCGTATTGTGCTTGGCAGCTTTTTCGTAGCAGTGACAACACGATAACTTCAACCGCTGTCGCCCGGATTACCCAAGGTTCCCACAGCATTAACGATGTGGGTTAGTATGCAGCGTAAGTATCTCCATAGCCGATTTTCTTTAAAGTGATGATTGGACATTGACTGATGCTTAACAAAATTAATCCATTGACGTCCTGCGCATTCCAGCTGGCTTTCGGCAAGATCTACACACTCTTCTCGAGTAAATTTGTCTTTCTAGCATCACTGCTGATATTTGAGAACGGAAGCGTTGTATGTGCTACTTCGCCGCAATAATACATCCAATTCGACTGGCTTCCGTAACCAAGTTGCGAGATTCGACTTGGCTGGTTCATTCACCTTCATGTCAGCAACGATTTCTCTTCTCTTGGCACTATCATGGGGTGGAACTACCTATGCATGGAGAAGTTCAGGCATTGCAGCCCTACTGACCCTCGCCGGTGTCCTATTCTGTTCGTTCTTAGGTGTCGAATGCTGGATGAAAGATAGTTCCATCATTCCTTTGTACAAGGAGGTGCCTTCTTGGTGGTCCATGTCAACTGGGCTTATATCGGTAGTCGTTGGGCTCTCCCGCACTTGAATCCTCCGATCAACCTTGTCCTGGTAGGGTTTCTGCATTGGCTGTGCTTTGTCTTTCCTCTGCACACTGTTCTTAGGCACTTGGCTGAATTGATTGGATTTAAACTGCCAATCCCCGGTGTAATCCAATTCGTTGGATTGGTGGCTACCTCCATCTAGAAAACCCGTCGCTCGCGTGTATCTTGTGCTTTTCGGAGAAAACTCCCAGAGCCAAGCAATCTTTTTAATTCAGTTAAGGCCAATCGTACTTTCACAGTCCAAATTATAGGCACTATCATTTGCCCCTTCATCAATTACATCTCGACGAGTGCTACAACGACTAATCAACGTGAGATACAGAATTATTCAGCAACTTCATCAAGGAAGTCAAGAGCATCGCGAAGAAGATTGAAGCTAGCGATAACGATGATCTAATAAACTAAGCCGAAAAGGGTTTGGTCTCGATTATCACAGATACTGTTGGAGTTGCAGATTTTTACAATCTACATGTAATGAAGATAAGTCAAGGAACTACTACAGCAGAGGAGAAGTGGGTCGCTGAGGTTGCTCAATTATACTTCAGCTTTAGAAGGTAAGTCAAAGGTCATCAACTCAATCCTACACGCAAAATAGACACACTGAGCTAATGTATTAAAAAGGCTTGACACAACTCACTTCAGCTACTCCATCTACCTTCCGTGCTGTCAATACTCCTCTTACCGTTCCGCTACTTGGTCTTACTAGCACCGCAACGCCATTTACTGCCGGAATTCTGAACATTAGTACCAAGGCCATCATCGCTCTTTATGGTCTAGCCTTGATCGGATCGGGTGCTACAATTATTCTATCAGCGATCTATATGTTCAAATTTACAGCTCGCATCGTCTACTGCGCTCTCTTCTTCTCCTTCCTCGCATCCAATTTCGCAATGACTGTTACGCTGAACCTAACAGCCGTTACCAGCATGGTAAACCAGATGGTCTCTTTAGTAGGGCCTGCTCTAGGCATTGAAGCTTCTGTTGGGGTTGCATTTCTAGGGAGTTCATAGACAGCAGCCTTATTCGCATTGATATTTAATCAATATTGGATGGTGGTCTAGCTAGCAGAAATCAGAGCATATGGATTTAGAAGAAGGATAAGAACAGACGTGGAGATTGGAGATTGGAAGGGAATTATGAACGAGTTGAAGAGAAATTGGAAGAAGCCTGTACCAGATGGACTTCCTACTACAGAATCTGATGAAAATCTCATGTTGATCGAGAGGGTAGATGAGGTCACTAGTGTAGCGACAAAAGAGCAGTCATATCGTTTAAGATGATTGAGACTAGACAGACTTTGAGGATGAACATTGCAGGAAGAGACTAAAATATCACCATGAACCAGATACATTCAACTATTGCGGGTCAATAAAAATTTCAAAAGGAGAACGGAGGGATTGGAACGGGTAAACATGGGTCAGGTTTTGGAAAGGGTTTCAAGGATATATATTGTAGAGTGAAAATAACATCAAAACTTCACACGATTTCAATTGCGAAGGATCAGAGACAAGTTGCAATTATCAATTTATGATACCTAGAATGAAGAGTCTTTAGTATCGCTCGTCGCTACATACAAATCACTCTTGTTCAGACCAATATCCCACTTCAACATCTTCTATATCCCAGACCGCCCGCTTCCTCAACCACTTCCTCCGTACTATGACCCCCTTTGGAGATCGACTGGTAATCTATCTCAAACTTCCCGGGGATCTCAATTGCGTAATGCTCAAACTCAATCGACTTTATCTTAAGGGCCGGCTCCACCTTAGGTTGGCCAGACCTAAGGTTTCTTGGCTCTCTCGAACATCCCGCCGATTTTCCCAGTTACTCCCTGCTTGGTTGTGTGATAAATACCTCCCTCCCCTGTGCAAGTATCTCTTTCCTTTCCATCTAAAATCCCACCAAAATTCTAGCCTCAAATCTCGAAACCTTGCCGCCAAACAAGAGCCCTAAGATAAGAGTACCACACAGAATCCCCCTACCTTCACTCTTCGCATATTATTCCATCCTCATATCCATCGCCTTGACAATTTCTTCCTTCATTTCTTCCTTCAAAAGGATGTTAGACCGAGGCATCAATCAAACCTCTCATTTCAAAACATACATTCGAATTCTATCCCAATCTCAATCCCATAAAGATGTTCTACACACCAGAACCTACATTTAATCAATCGGAAAGTATTAACCCGCAAATGGCACTTTACTTGCCAAAGTCAAATGTGCGGAGTCGAAGACGAGTCCTCCGACGGAATCGTGGTATATCGTTAGTCGTAATGGTAAAATATAGATGGCAGCATTGCCACAATCGAACAGATAAAGATTCGTAAAAAGATATGGTATTCCGATAGTTTTGAACACCCCGAAGATTATGGTAATATGGCAATAGATAGAACAGACATGCGAGAGCCAGACCCACAATACCACAGGGTCGGGCTAAGAAATTGATTCTCATAATCCCAAACTCCGGATTCTCGTATATGGTATTTCACCACTTCCTAAAGTATAGTTTTTTAGAAGATATGCCCAAACTTATCTTCAAAATCGTCGCTGATATGACGTGGATAGAAGCCCTCGAATCAAGAAAAGAATCATTTTTTACAAATATGCAGGAACGACTGCTCTGAAAACCAAGCAGCACTGCATAGTGATTTGAATTTTTCCTGTCCTGATCATCCTTTCGGGGACGTAGAGATCAGGCCGAACCAGGTAAAGCAACTCTTTTTTTGTCACGTCTATTTTTTGGTTGCTTCGAGTTGGTTTTGTGGACTTTTTTTTGTTGTGGAGCTTTTGGTGTCGCAATAGTCGCAAGGATTTTTTTTATTTTTTTATCGAGATAATACATATTTATCATAAGGTAGGAGATTTTTCAGCTGCGTCTCCTTCTTTTATAGTCTGACCTCCTTCGGTTCCCCAAAAAAAGAAGGAAAGGTGAAGTCTCCGCCAACCACTACCAATCGATGGGTCCGAAAGGATGGACATTACTGTCAACGTAGGTATCAGTTTCGACGACAGGGGCGTTCTCTGGGACGTCGATGATTTCAATATTTTGAGGTATATTAAGCTTGGTGGGATGACACCAATCTTCGTCGCCCGAATCATCACTACTTTCGTCCTCCATCACAGCCTCAGCTTTTGGGACCGTGCGATTCTCGTATTTTTTCACCACCTTCATATACTTGGCAATACGTTTCTTCGATACGTTCAAGTTGCGAAGGAGAAGCTCGCGGTCGAATGTTGCATAGACTTCGACTTCATTCTCCTCCTCCCACTTTTGAAGATCGAACAATTCCCATGACGTCTTCGCCTTCAGTAATTGCAATTCTGTTGGCCCCATTGTGATATCGACATTTGCGAGGTCTGCCGGGACCCTGTGCTTTCGATAAAGCTCTGCGTCTTCATCTTTGTCTAAGTCTTCGAGATCGTCATCTTCATCGGACTCTTCTGGTGTGGTGTCATCTATAGTGATGATCTCGAATTCATCACTTTCTGACATCTCTGAATCTCCAATATCGGAGTCGCTATATTCATCGCAGTCATTAGAGTCTTCAGACTCGTCAGGAGATCCTTCAAGTGGAGGCAAGCCGACACAGCCGTCTAGACTAACATATGGCCCAGTGCTTACCTCGGGTGATTCGGACCGAGGGGTTTCCTCTTCTTGTCTTTCGCTGGATTCTTTGGTAGAATCAGAATCATCATCTTCAGAGGACAAAGATTGTTCTTCTGGCATTCCCGTTTCGTTTGAGAAAGTGAATGATGTGTCTAGCAGGGAAAATGGATCCTCTTCTGTTAGTCTAGACTCCTGACCTGAAGCATCATTGAACCCGAAGGAGACCCCATGAAAATCACCCTCAAAATCGGTGGAACTCTTTAGAGAAAACACTGAAGACTCAGTAGGGGCTGATGCGATTTCCACCGAGTAATCCTGTTGATGTCTCTCAGCAGAGGAAGAATCATCTTCTGCTTCGAAATTATCGAAGGCAGAGCGAGGAATGACCGGTGGTGAAGACTCTTCTTCAGCAGCTGCATCCTCAGCCATTTGAGCTTCAAGACAACGTTCCATTTCGGCCTCCAACTTATCAAGGACAGATTTGGGAACGGCTGGCTCACTAGAGATAGGTTTGCGAGTGGTCGGTATATTGAAGACATAGTTTCCCCAACACGGGTGAGCGTACCTATAGGCGAGATCAAGGTGATATGGTGGGTAATATTCGTCCTTGTCTTCATCGGCATCTGACATATTACTCTCATAACCTCGATCCCTAGCATAGAATGGTTCATCTTGTAAGACACCATTATATCCCTTGTACAAGACAGTTGGCTTAGAGACCTTCTGAGGAACTTCGCATTGCTCTTCATCAGATTCATCTCCTGAAGAATATTCATCGCTATTGTCATTTGATGAATCTTGATCAGATGATTCGCCATTTTCAGCTCGAAGGACAATCATAGCTTCGAGAGCTGATCGCAATTGCTCAGCATGGAAGGAATTTTGAAGTTCGATTTGCATATCGCGCTCGAGCTCAAGTGCCATGGCGTCTATATCTTCCGCTGTGTCAGAGAGCTCTATGTCCGGAGTAATAGTCTTGAAAGTTCCCTTGGCATTTTCGAATTTAAAGAAGTCATTCAAAACAGACCCATTGTCCGAATTTGTAACTGGGAGTCCAGGAAATCCGAGAAACTGTGGCATTGGTCGTTGTGCTTGGCTTGAAGACCCAACCTTGGGAGCGAGGCTAATAATATCTTCATTATGTCTGGTCTTTGGTACCACCTCAGCCTCGATGTTCAAAGCTGCTGGAAGAGACGAATTAATTACAGCCACAAGCTTTGGCTGTTGTGGGATCTCCACTTTCTCTAGCTCAGATCTGTCTTCCATGCTGTCTTTAGTGTTTTCCACTTTGTCAACAAATGGAGATCTAGGTGTGAGCACCACTCCTTCAATTTTGTTTCCTTTCTTGATCACCTTTCTTGGGACGGAAGTTGATTGTGCAATACTGGATGTTGTAGATCTGCTAGCCTCTTTTGTTGATGTCTTGGTGCTCAATGGTTTCGACGAAACAGATGGCTTCTTGAGTTCAACTTGAGGAGCTGGAACGACGCGATGACTATTAAGTTGTTTTCCTTCACTTGATGAAGAGGTGGGTAATGGGATTGAAGAAGGGTTTTTTTTGGTAACTTCATCCTTGGAAGCAGGAGTAACGCCACGGCGACTAGATTGAGTCTTATTAGAAGTGCTAATAGAGGCTGAAGATGTGTTCTGAATCGAAGCAGGTGGTTTTGCGACTTCGACATTGGGAGCAGGAGCAACTATACGGCGACTAGGTTGTGTCACTTGAGTTGATGCCATGGTAGGCATAGATCCTGATGATGCGGGAGCTTTTGTAGCTTTGACTTTTGGAGCAGGAGCTGGGCCACGACGACTAGATTTAGTCTTGACAGGGACTTTATCAAATGCTGATCGTGGGATCTGGATGGGTTGGGCTGCGACATTGGGTGCTTCACCGAAAAGTTCCTCCATGGAAATGTTATTGAGGGCTGGTCGTGGGCTCTTGATTGGTTGAGCTGTCAAACTTGGTGCTTCACCAAAAAGCTTCTCCATGGAAACGTTGGGAAGATACCGAAGTTTCGATGCTTCTCTTGTCGACGAAGCAACCGACTCGCTCTGCGATGCGACAACTTTTGGTTTAACTTGCGCGGAAACAGATTTCAAGAAATTTTCTGTAGATTTCTCGCCATTTTCGTTCACTGTCTGGGAAACCGACCTAGGCTGCACGGAACCCTTCTTTGCTGTTGGCTTCTTGGTAGACTTGGAACCACCAAAACCAAACGCATTTTTGGTGGGGTTGTTTCGAAACTTTGTTTCCTTGATAGGGGCGCGCTTTGCAGGAGCCTATTTGATTGGTCAGTAAGTTTCGCTTATGATTTCAGAATATATACCAGATTGTGCGTGAACTTACAGCAACAGTTTTGTTGATTGGTTCAGTGATCTTCTGTTTCTTTACAGGACCACTTCTTTCTACCTCCTCAGTATGCTTGCGCTTAGTAGAACGATTTTCAAAGTTCATGCCTGCCTTGGTGGTCTTTGGCTTCTTGGCAGGCTGAGCGATTTCTTCTTCAGAATCACTAGAGTCTGTATCGAAATACTTGCGCTTGACTGGAGATTGCTTGTTCTCTTCAGAATTCTTGAGGTACTGGGTCTGTTGAACTCTGGGAGGAAGCTTTGGGATATCGGGCTTGAACTTGGTGGTGTTCTTAGCCCCATTTTTGATTTCATTGCGTCCAAAAGTCTTTTGGTCTTTGTTGTTTGATGGCGCATGGCCAGAATCTGGGACTGAAGCCTTGATCTTGTTGTGTACATTATTGACGAGACAAGACTTCCTATTTTGATTACCGCTGCTCATGCGGCCTTTGTAAACTATATCTTCTTCGTCGCTATCGATCTCTCCGTCTTCCTTCTCTGCCATCTTGCGCTTAATTTTGGCTACGGCGGCAGCTTCCTCGGTGGCTTTCTGCTCAGCAACCTCGGTCATTGATTTGCCTGGACGCTTTTTCATACGAGGAAGGGATAAGATGGAATTTGAAGTGCTCTGTATATTATGATTAGTACAAATCAACTAATAAAGATTAACTACGATGACATACCGATTTGAGAGCTTGATTCACAGAAGTTGGGGCGGTGGATGCGTTAGCCTTTACAAGAGGGTTTGCAGCCTGTGAATCAAATTAGTATCTACATATGATATTATTTCATAGCGCAAAGAAAGGGAAATTACTTACATTGCGGGCCTTCTTCTCAGCAGCTTCAGCACGTGCTGCCTTGAGCTTCTCAATGCCAGCAGTGATCTTCTGTTGTTTAGTCTATTCAGTTAGCACTTGATCTATTTCTTGATTGATGTTGACTTAAGGTACAAGAAGCAGAAGAGAGATAGAGGTTGATAAGAGTCATAGCACATACCATGCTGTTGCTTTGTTGAGGTGGCATTGTGAATGGTAATTTACTACTTTGTGGAGTAATGGTAAACGGTCTATGAATGGATTTAATATCACTCAGAAAGTAACAGGTATCAAAGTTGGTGTTGTTTTGTAAATGTGAGATAACTCAAGTGCTATCCAAAAGGTATTCTTGAAAGAAGTCTCGGGTTTCCGGGTTTCTTGTAGAATAGGAAGAAGAAGGTGCTGAGATTTTTCGGGAGATGGATTCTTGGAGGCTTATATATCAAGACTATATATCTGCTACGGCGACAAAACATTGCTACGGTTCGAGTTGGCTGTATTGAATATCGCATGTTCACTACCAAAAACCGTATTCAACCACAAATCGTGGAGAGTTTTGATGCCGTACAGAGCGCGATTACTGTTGCACATGATCTCAAATTACCAATCAGCCTGATTTATGTTCGCACGGTCATTACCATGCTGTATAAAAGAGATATCTGATTGTGGTTGGCTCGATAGCCGTACCCATTTTGTTGAGGCTAATATCCATGACTTGCCGCAACCGAACGAAACTATTGTACTGTTGGATTGAAAAATATGATAGTATCACTTCAACATCAATCTCCCACGTTGTAGTTCCGCATCAATACGGCCTTTGAAAAGCTGCAATTGATTTTCGGGACGTTCACTATTACTCTAGGCATACTGCCAGCGATCCAATCAGGTCTACTCCTCAGAGTCAGTAGTTCCTTAACCACAAGTAAAAATGGCGTGCATCCATACAGCTTGCTTGTATGCCGCTTGGCAGGCTTTGATATCCATAGAAATTTACGGAGAGGATGTGTCTATGTTGATACCAATGACTGTTCTGCTGCCTTGTTTTTAAGGACATTTAGCTGCTGTACAGTCTTGAGATGACTGCTCTTTCAACTTCACTATTGCAATTTTTGCAAGGACGTCTGATTCTTTAGAATGATTATGGGGCAGCTGTCTACTTGTGACTCCCTGCTCCATCTTTATACATTGCATAAAGATTGAAGATGGAAAGATTGTATGCCATCTTGAAATTCTTAAAAGCGACTACGCCTCAAGCTCATGCAACTTCCAATGATGAAGGCCCCAAACATTCTTCTGATGCTGAAATCACTCCTCAATATTATACCACTCTGCCAATATTAATCTCGGCGATATTTTAACAGATAGTAGATCGTATAATGATATTGTCCCTTTTTGTCCTTTGGTATTCAAACATGGGTTGCTTCAATTTGCGCCTTACTAGACCAATCCCAACCCAGTCTGGGATCTGGGTAGCTATATTAAATAGAGACTTGCTTAACAGTCAACGAAAGAATTGATATTTATCTAGAAACCCTGGTTGCACTTGACTTGTATAACTTATCTCATACCCTCATTTTGCAAAAAGCCCTTCTAGGCTCCAAGGGTTTCCATTCAAGATATGACAAGTGAATCAGATTTTGTTTTAACAAGATTTCACTGCCGGCTCTTCTTTAGTTACTTTCCGTAGGAACAGCTGTGGCTGCTTTCCGCTCCCTTAGTCGACCGAGGGTTTGGGTTTTTCATACTTATGTTCAATAGACAATACTTAAGATAAGTAAAAGCATCCTGGACAGTCGAAGTGCAGGGTAAGATAATAAATCCTGTCCAAAGAAGTTTCTGAAATTTTTTATGAGTTAATTCTAAGCTTTAACCAAGATCTTCATTTTCAAGTAGACCACTAAGTCCATCAAGTGAGTGTGTTTTGTTTCTGAACATATAAAACGAAATCCAGACATAAGTGGCTCGCTGTTTCGTACTCAGTTTGACATATATTACACCAGAAACAAGAATAAATAATGGCGTGCAAAGAGTGATATCCGAAAACTCGCAGAGAGAGAGTTAGGTACCACTGAGTCGGTGAAATTTCACATTGACAGATGATAATTGACTCTTGGTGATTGAAGATTAAGACTCATAAATGACTGACCATAATGGGAAGTTATATGCTTTCAAGCATGGCTTCAGAAGTCCTTTCTATTCACTTTATCCTGAATGGGAGCACCATAGAAGCACTGAGATATCTGAGACACATCAAAAAGTTATTTGGGTGCTGCAAAACATGCTCGCCCAAACATCTTATGAAGTCAATGTGCACAATCCAAGTAAAATAACTTCGAATCTCAATATTTTAATGTGGTAGTAATGATGTAATAATTGAGCAATTTATCCTCCCTCTGTGATTCTAGAGTAAGTGAGATCTTATCAGGAAGAGATTATATTGTTTTAAATTCAAAATCTGTGAGAGGAGGTAATGGGTTTTAAGTGTGAGGTTTTGCCGGAAAGCCCCTATAATCTACTATACTTTATTTGTACTAGTCATATCTTGGCCTTGTGATGATTTAATGATGTATCCCTGGGATCCGCACCTCCATCTCGCGAGCTTCAAGTTAATAGCGAAACCAAAGCAGGCAAAATGTTTCAAAGATTCTGGCCTCCATTTATTGCAAGGTTACATGCTTCCTTTTCGGGCCGGATATCACACGATGTAGGACAGCTAGATTTCAGAACAATCAAAGGGTCTGGGAAGTAATTTAAATGAGCGCAACCACCGGTGGTGCATGATATTGTAAAATTTCGAGCTAAACAATTGAAGATAACAAATGACAACAACACTATAAACATACTCCTTGGCAACAGGCCTGCCTTCAAACTCAAGTATATACATTGAATAGTTTGGGGGTACCAAGACCCTCCATTAAATCAGTAGAAACATTTCTACAATGCTGCCAAGATCGCGTTATATGCGGGCTTTGGAGAATAGTTCGCATCAAACAACAATGGGCTGGAACTTGCACGCCATGAGTCGGTATCGCGGAGACCCCAGACTGTAATACCAACACATTTGTTTACGCTCAAACATGCGTTGACAACCTATTCGATAATTAGGGCCAGTTCTTACTTCATCTCGAAGGTAATTCCTCAGAAAGTTAAACTCACATTGACATAATCAGTAGATCCTGCACCGGCGATATCCAATTCTGTGACCGCAACCTCGCTAACACCAGAAGCGGCAAGTGCAGTCAAAGCGCCTTTTGCAGCAGCTCCCTGGCCGGCCGATAGATGGGTCTGCGAACCGATTCCATCAATGGGGATTCCTTGACCGATCCAAGTTTTGACATGTGTGACCATTCCCTTCGTGAGTTTGGCATAAAATTCTGAGTCCAGGCTTCATGAAATGTTAGCTTTGGATGTAAGAATTTGAAGAGTAGAAGGATAGAAGTACTTGTAATCGTTGATGTAGAGCTTTGCGTTTAGGTCAGCTGCTCGAGCGGCTTTGAAGGCAATGGAGACAAAGCTTTCACCAAGGACTTTGTAGAACACGCTGTCTCTCATTGAACCATCTTCATTGAAGATTTCGTTAACGACATCCTTATAATGGTTAGTTTTATGAGTCAAATCAAGATATGATGACATACCCATGCATAGATCTTTCCCTTCCAGCGAGTCACCTCTTGGGTGACGTGATTTTGGAGGACGCTAGTGAGAGTGTCCTTAGACGTAATAGAGCTAACCCAGCTAGGAAGTTGAGAATGCCAGCCTATCGATGTCAGTTTATATTCTCAAAGACAAATTTGGTATGACAAACAAAGTGTATGGCCGCGAACAAGTTTCTTATTCTCAACCGCAAAGTTTACCAAATAGTCGCCACCAGCGAAGTTGAACTTGTTTTGGGTCCCTATCCACAGTCAGCAATACACTCTTCAAGACCTATGTGAATATCTATACCTTCAATAGCGTCCCACTTCATGCTATTCTCTGGTGTCACTTGTCCAAAGTTTGCTTTGATAACATCCGCATTCTTTCCAGATGAAAGAAGATTCTGATCTGTGGCAAGACCAAAGTATTTCTTTCCATGAGCAACAAATTTGTCGTTAATACTGCTACTGCTTCCGGTGCTGGTTGGACTTGTGATCTCGGGTTTCAAGGTCGTTGGGGTAACTAATGTCGCTGTAGCTGTTGGAACGGCATTTCCAGGAATGCACTGAGAGTAATCTAATAAAATGAGCAAATGCTGTAAATGTTGCTAAAATGTTTATCATACAATCGCTATAACCATGTTAGCTTCATCCACAAGTTTTAGTGGGGTTAAACTTACTTTGAGCGTGTGCAAGTGTATCCTGATACACAGGTTGTAGCACCAGTCCAGCCGTTACCGCCACCTGAAAGGGTCAATCATGATGTGCTTTTATTATGTTGAGTCAACTTACATTGAGCCCAACCTTGACTCTGAGCCAAAGCGAGATTGATATGACCGAGCATGGCAGCCAAAGCTGCAACATTCAAAGCTGAAAACATATTGTTGATGGAATAAAAAGATAGAATGAGTGAGAAAAGAATAGAATTGTTTGAATGTGTGATAATAAAGAATAATCAGGGCGAGAAACTTGATCATATATACTCCTAATTTTCACTACATCATCTTCTTCTCTTTCCGCCAAGATGGGTTAAAGGAGCAATCTAACACAAACATTGGGTAATCCAGACTTTCGAAATCATCAGCACTAAGCAAAAGCCGCTTCTCCCGTAATTCCGGGTCTTATAGGCTAATATCAAGCGTTATAGTATCTGCCTTATGAACCTAAGACATAAAACTACTCGTGATCTTAGGATTAATGTTCTCTCCTACGTTTCAAGGGGCGGCCCGGCTGTTAAGCACCCCGCAAATGCCAAGATTAGTTGAGGATACACTAAGCAAAAAGCCTAAATTGAGAAATGGGGTTCCAAGGGGCATGAGAACAGTATTGTATCACGCCTGGATCACTCCATATAGATTGAATTCAGCACTTTTGGCTTAGATATAATTGAGTCAAATCATTCATCGCTTTGCAGTCTCCACACCTATATTGTTGGTCACTATAGGGTTGTTTTCACGTAAGAACGGATTGAAATGAAGCTTCTTCCTTGCATTCACAGAAAAGTGGCAATATTGTTTCAACACTCCTAACATGGCAATAACTTGTCAAAGATGGCTTCCTCGTCGGTAGGGGATTCTTGAAGGGGACCGATTAGTACGCGATAGATCGTGTCGACCTTGGCAATGTTCTAAATCGGCCCAATCTTTATTCAGATGGCCGTTTCCGTAGTAATTGTGCATTGCTTCGTCCGAATGATTGAAAAGCATTGACAAAACGACCATAGAGTTGCAATTCCGCTCCACTTTCAGGGTAGCTTCATGGAACTTACAACGGCAGAGAATATCAGATCTTGCAATGGAAGTTCAAGTCAGAAAAAAAGAGACGATATAAATACGATGCCCTTTTGACTTGAAATTATCGTACGCAATGAAGAAAAAATTGATAAAAAGGGTTTTCAATTGCAGCATTTACTCGAATAAAAAAAGCCAAATTGCCGCAGATATCAACAGGGCTTGCGGGCCGAGATTCTGGCGATGACATCGACGCCGAAAAGCCTCTAAATTACTTCTAACAACGTTAATCTAATGTTGTCATCTGTGTCTTTGAGAGCCTGCATGCATGAAACTTTAGAACAACAATGCCTGCAGACGATAGCTGATCGGCAAACTTTTGCAGGTGTCAAGTGTTAAGGTTAATCTAGCACAGAACAAGAATAAGCTTCATTGTCTGGGCCTATCACATCACGCTAGAGTCACTAATGAGTAAGTGCCGATGCGAGAGTAGCACCGTACTGCAAGAAAACTCATGATGTGGATGTACCAGTGGTTTCATGACTCTACGGTGTCGCGATCCTTTCTCAAGCATGCAATCAAAAACGCAAAGAGAAGTACAATGAAAATTCTTCATGGAAAAGATGTATTTTGGACCATGTACCTGCTCGCGGGACTATGTGATCAAGATGCAGATACTTGTGTGGCAAATTCTCTCTCCTTGATAAAGGACACGAAGTATTGGAAACTACTTCATAAACGTTAACTTGACATCTCCCACTAGTACACATACAAATGACAATTATGAGATGAGCAAAACGATAAAAAGGTAGGGGATCGTAACAGGTAATGGAGCCCCCGTCGTTAGAATAAGGTGAAACCAAAATAGTTGTCAATTTAAAGATCAACAATTAAGGTTAGCGGGGCGTGTGTAGCGATTCGGCGGATTGACAAGGTAGGCACGTCAACAACTACTTGAGGTACCTAGTTACTCGTCAAAACAAATTAATTTCAACTCACTACCAATGACTGCTTTTGGTATATTAATTATCAGAGATTGAAACACTCTTAGAGTGATTCTTTGCTGGGTGAAGCCTGTAGGACATGCCCGAAAATCGAGTTTCTAATGACCTTATTGTTAAGATTTGAGACCATCGTGTCAACCACAACCTCATTGTGTTATCAAACAAAGCTACTATTTCTTTAAAGGGGCAGCCAATCTAATTCAAGCGTTCAAGCTTTTTCATGTTTCACAGGGCTAGTTGATAGCTATAGATACTAACAAACAACGGACTCTAGCATGAATCAGCACAACAAGGCACTTTGGCGGAGTGGTTAACGCGATGCCCTGCTACTGTTCAAACCAGAGTCAGGCATTTCCTTCGGGAGCGAGTGTTCGAATCACTCAGGTGTCGCTTTGATTTTGCACCACAACTGCCTTCTCGCTCTAATTTTTTTCTCTTCTGCTGACATCTCAATAAATTTTCCAGCTTGAGTAATCGTATTTTTATGATCCCTGTTGTTTGTGGATCCGTGGGCTTGGTTTGTATGTGGGGAGGCCCCTTTTTAAGATTCGCTTGTTTATACGGAATGCGTGAAGACAATCTTTGTTCCAAGTCATAAGAGTTATAGGAATAAACTGCATCTAAATGAACGATCCATTTCTATTACAGTTCTAAAATTCTTCAGTGGATAGATGAAGTCAGCCTTGAGATTTCGAGTGAATGTCGTTCATTGTAGAACTTTTATCTGCGTAGGTAACTCCGTTTAGTAATACCGGTACCATTCTATTTATGATATTTGATGATATATTTTATGACTTACGAAATGACTCATTAATGAGTATACAAATTAATAGAACACTTCAAAAATGGACTTATAGATATCTCTTAATATATTCAATTTTATCTTTTAAGAATTCTTACAATTGTTCATTCGAAATGAAACAATTAAAGAATAAATTCTAATATCAAATAATTGAAGAATAAATTTGTCAAAATTTCTGAAAGTTGGGAGGTGTCCTATCAATCTATACACCCACTAATAACTATTGTATACATATTCACCACTAGCTTATCATCGATATTAATGCTACATATCAAATAGAAGAAAGAGGGTTAAGATGTCAATGTGATTGAACGAATAAGAGATGCCTACCCCACAAAAGGGCTTTTCGATTTTTGAGGCATTTAATCATTTTGGAAGAGATTTTCTCAACTTCCTCAATTTTTGAGAGTTCTTGAAAAGGTTTACAACGATCTACTCGATACATATACATCAATTTTCTTCTGTTTTTTCGAACATATAGTACGTTACATAATAAAACAACAGAACCCTTGAAACCAATTAAAAACTTCAAGTAATATACTCGACTCAAACCCTGCCAAGCAATCTACCTACCGCCCTTAATCTGATCCAACCAGCGTTCCCCCTAAAACTAGAATTTTACTACCTCTCTTAGCTCCCCCTCTTTGACACGTACCTCGGCACCATCGAATATTAATTCTCATGGCTTAGATATTCCAAAAATTTCAACTGGGGAAACGTCTAGATTCTTTTCGAGCTCACCTCTTTATTTTGTTTATTAAAATTCTATAATAATTGGGTCGCATATTGAGCTCTTTATGCTTATTCAAAACTCTAAGTTAATGAGCAATAACCTTTGAGATCGTCATATATGTACCAAAATGAAATTTATATGGGAATTTGCTTTGAATATCTTTTCGTCGATGTCATTGAAGATGTCACTGCAGGGTGTTGTAAAGTCAGAGTTAACGGTAGAGCAAGGTCAATGGAACTATACAAATTTACACACAACATGAGCACCACCAAATATATTTATGACTTTCCTTCGTACGATTCAGTATCTTCCAAAATATTACCTGTGACATTTTCATACTTTGTTAAAATCTATGATCATTTGTAATTGTCGATGCAGTGATGAATATGGCCACATGACTATATTAAGCCTATTACGAAGACATCACAATCGTTAATGAGGTGATATCAACACTAATCAGCGATGTCACAGATCATAAGACTCCATATTATTTTTGAAGAGACTTTATTACAGAGGCAAAATATAGGAACGTAAACAAATTGCTTCGCTACATCACTATTGCAGACATACAACGCAACAACAAATTCCAAGGAATCTAAATACAGAAACAGAACAGTAAGTAAAAAAGGTGAATACTGCCATACAACAATCACTTCCAAGAGAATCAACTATAAAACTAGTTTCTCCGTCCATCACACACTCGCTCTAGCTAAACGGCCTCATCGATTTCAACTCTACAATAATCGAAATCATCCTGCGGATCTCTTTATTGAGCCATTCTACAACAACAACCTTCTCCTGCTCCTGCTCCTCCTCCTCCTCCTCCTCCTCCTCCTCCTCCTCCTACAAACCCATCAAATTCAATCGACGAACTTCTTAGAACCAAACAATAGAAACCAAAACAGCAGGCACAAGAGGTACATATTACCACGAATACCACCAGGACGAATCCTCGAATTCAACTTCCTCCTCCTCCAACCTCAATACCTTCATCTTCTTCAAACTCAGCTCTCTGCTGCACCGCCTACATCGTATTTACACTTCTACAGTTTTCCTACATCTCGATCCTAAAAACACACAATACTAAAATTTTATAATTCAACAGTTGTCAGTGAACAAAGCATTGGATTCGATATTTAATTATACGTTTTAAGGGAATTAGAATTCAAGTATTCGATTATATTATGACAAGCAAGAGCTTTTAAGCTATACATACATTCCAGTTTTATTTGAGGACTATTAGCATCGATATACCTGTTGAATAGAATCATGTAAATATCTTATAGATACATCAATCTTCAACTTCGAATAGTTTTAGTCAAGAAATAGAGAATATCGATAAGTGCATCAAGTTTATTATAAAGTGTTATAATCACCACTGTGGTGATTTCAGGGTTCCACTATATATACCCAACTAGCTGTCGAACTGATGGCAATTGCTTTTTCTTCACAACCATCATAGTGATTCCAATAGTAATTATGTTTTCCTGTACATGTAGTTACTCATTTGCCCATTTGTTTCTATAGACTATCAACCTGCTGCAGATATTATAAGCTTCTTATGCGTTCTCACGCTTCCCATTCGTGAGATTCATGGATATGCTGGCTGTCTATTGTGCTGATATACTTTGTGAGAATTATATGATCATCTCCAAAATGTTCAATTTTCTGACATACCTGCAGATGTTTCAAGACGACATGCCATGAGTGAACTTTAATAGATGACCCTTTAGCAACTATTTTCGTATGAAAACTTAGTGTAAGTTCACAAAAGTCGTTGATTGCTATTAATTTGAGAAGATTGCGAATTGCTTAGAATCTGCGATGTAGGTTCTACTCGTCAAATGATATTCTATTTGAAGAGTAGGCTCTGTGCAGAATGAGTTATCCTTAAACAGGCCTCGCTGTAGGACTAGCCCTTTGTTGTAAACTATGAACGACTCGAGGCCATTCGTTCACTCTTTCTTCACACGGTTCCTAAGACTCACGGGGAGGATTCCAAAGGGGGGGGGGAGTCGTTTAGTAATTAAATAATGAGAAAAAGCAAACATGCTCGTGTCAAGAGAATCTGATTAGATAGATTAAAACAGGAGATTGCTTTAGATCGATTTGAAAAGAACATATATTAGTGGGTATGTGGACTAACGAAATACTATAAAAATGAACTTAGGAATATCTCCTGAAATGTAGATTTGTAAATCTTACTAAATTGTTATAATCGTTCATTAGAAATTAAAAATAAAGAGATAGATTTTGAGAGCATATAACTGAAGAATGAATTTATTAAAAATACCTATCGAAAGTTAAGAAGCATCCTGTTAGTTCACACACTTAATGGCGCACTAGTGAGTGTATAGATTGACAGGACATCTTTCAACTTTTAGAAATTTTGATAAATTCATTCTTTAATTATTTGATATTAGAATTTATTCTTTAATTATTTTATTTCAAATAAATAATTATAAGAATTCTTAAAAGATAAAATTGAATATATCAAGAAATATCTATAAGTCCATTTTTGAAGTGTTTTGTTAATCTGTATACCCACTGGTGGCGTTGTGGAGTTGCTGACTCATCAAGAACAAACCTCAACCCCACTAGATTCGAAACACAACACCATCATTACCATCTTCCTTTGCCCTCCTTTCTGTACCATCGCGATTGAGATAATTCATATACACGTTCATGTATGGGTTGTATCTAGCCACGTCTATTGTAGTAAGCAAAGACTGTTCTAGCATCTAGTGATGCAAAAGGCTGCCAAGCAGCATCTCACCTCTCATCGCAGAGGAACAACGCGACTTTGTAATAGAAAAAGAAGAATACTGATCACTACGATTTGTGGCATACAGATACATTCTCTTCTCGGAGATCATAGAATGTACGAATCTTCCATCTCGATTGTCAAACATGCTTGTTATTCACGCAATTTAATAGTCTGATGGGAAAGCACATGAATTACGGAGCTTAGACTTTGCACTATTGTGTGATGATGATGACCATTTAGTTTCGGTTAGTAGCTTGTGGGTAGTTTAGAAAAAGTGATTGGTACATTGAAGGAGATGACATACTCATAATCATATCTGTGTTTCTTCATTGAAATCCCCTATATCAAGTTCGGAGGGTTGAGATTAATCCCAATCAACACAGTGACACTTTCGCTTGAATGGAAGTACAATGAATCATATTAGATTCTAGGAACTAGATAATGAAAATTATGTAGTGTCTATGGTTTTAGGGAAATCACAGGATTACAAAGGACACTGCATTTTATGATTACCGTCGATTCTGCGTGAGCTTGATTTCAATAAGTCATGTTGGGCATAAGCCAGAAGCAGATGTTCGTCCTGCAGTGGCTTCTATGGTCTTTCATTTCTAATGTTCTCTTCTCCAGATATGTAAAAAGAACATCATAGCTGTGATGTTGGGAGTTTGATGCGTTCAATTCTTGTCAAGTCGAGGGATCAAGGTTTATAGACAATGTGAATTGCAACGTACTTCGGGTGAAAGAAATATCCTTAATTTTTGTAGTTACTGATGATCTGTGAATTTTCACTCTTTGAAAAGTTTCTTAGTATATTACCGACGTATAGATGTTATCTACAAAGGCATGAGGCTAATCACCCATCGCTCGTTATCGAATTCAAGGCGTCGTCAAACGTTTCGGGGTAGCAACAATTTTGATAAATGTAAAATACCGGGCACTTCATTTTTTATCCTGTTTCCAAACATGATAGATACTAGAAACAGATGTTGAATTAATGCTGCGAATACTACCTTCCCGAAATTTGATAGCAGATTCAATACTCTCCATTATGATCTTCAAGGGGTACACATCTTGTGGAACCTACTTGCACACTCATTGATTCTCTTCCTTGACCCGAGATCATGCCGTGTACATTTCCTGTGTCGTTCTAGCAAATACTTTACTAATAATATCAATCGAGTATCCATGTGCAGCTGAGTATCGTGGGGGAGGTCTCGCAAAACAAAGTGACGAAAAACAGCTACATGATTTTTCGGTCAGTACAACATGAAGGGCTTAATCTCGTGCTGAGCGATTTTGACAGAAACAAGGGTGCACCAATGCAAAGAATCAAAAGCGGATGCGGGGTACTATTTGTGTAATGAAGGAAACGAAGAGGATGCGGGGATGAGACTTGGGGGCTAAACCCCCTTAATGAGTATCTTCCGCTTTTAAATGATATGTGATAATTGATTTCAACATTCTGATGTCGGTTAGAGGTTAAATTCCTTCAGCTCTTCCACTTTCACGAAAACGATAATTTTTTATTAGCCGAGAACTTAAGTTCTTTGGCGGAGTGAACATTCAAGGTTTTATTCTTCATCGTAAACAATAGTTTGTTGATGGCGAAATGAGGGAATTGCGAACCACAAGTCGTGGAATACAATTATTGGTTGAGATTGGCGAGGAATTACACATAATATCAATAGGCGTCATCATGTCAAGCTGATATATCCTGTGATACGATCATTCATTCGAACATGCACTCGAGGTTATTGAGAAACAGCTGCACAATTCTTTCCTCCGAAAAACGCTCCTTGCTCGAATAGCACGAACACTTCGAAGAGAAATTTTGTATAAAGGACATAGATTCTCACCTCGTAGGGAACCAGAACAGGTTCAATCTCCAGAAATCTCCAACAAACAACCAGCATACACATCAGCGAGCAACTCTGCAATCTTCACAATGTATTTTAACTTCAATTCCATTGCATACGCAATCGCTGCACTTCTCACCATCCAAGCAGCAGCTGTACCTATCACTGTCAACCCCCTGGCTCATGGAGCATCTGTAGAATCTTCCACTGGGGCAGTCCGTACTTACTACCAAGCCAACGACGGATCCATCGTCGAGATCATCCCGAATTTCCCCGCGACCTTGGGTTACACTAGCAGCGTGATCGTTGCCGCAGGAGTCGCAAAGGCTAATACTCCTCTTGCTGCTATAGCTTGGGGATCTTTCGACGAGGTATATCTTTTTCTTTCTCATTCCTCCAGTTTTCTGATTCCTCTATTTTCTCTTCTTTCTCTATTCCCTCTTTCCTTTATCCTCCCACATATTAATCAACCACTAACAAAAACACACCTAGATACACCTCTACTACATCGGCACCAGTTTCAGCAACACACACCTGCGCGAAAAAATCTGGAAATCTGGCACGGGATGGGCAGACGGGGGACTCAATACACTCAGCTACACAACCCAAACCAACACGAGTTTCCTGACCGCATATCATGATGGAACGACGGTAGCGGGCAGTACATGGCGCGTGGCGTTTGTATGCTCTACATTGGGAGCACCGGTGCCCGGTAGTCTGTGCGAGGCGTCGAAGTCGTCGTTGCTTCCGTGGGTTGTGGCTTCTTATATTTAGATATTTAGGGGGATGAGGTTGAGTTTTCCTTATCTGAATTTTGGGGAAAGAGAAGAGGGGAAGTTTGGGGGGTGGGGGTGAGGATAATTCAGAGTTCTTAGCTTGCAAGTCGAATATGGTTTTGTTTTCCGAGTCGTGAGATGAGGAATGATGGGCTTGAGATCATTCCTTTGGTTCGATTTACACGCTATCCATTTCTTTCAGAGGATCATAGAAGCTTACGTTCATTCCTTAATTTGCTTCATGTGTGACCAGGGTATTTTCTTCCTCGGGTCTCGAGAATAACGTACTGGACGAAATTTGCATCATCTATATATAATGATTATCATGATGAACAAACACACAAACGAACGAATCACTCCATTTCCATAACCTGCTGCTGCAATGAAATCCACCAATCAACCAACTAATCCAGCCATGCAATCTTTCAATCTTTTCCCACAAACTTCTCCCACAGCATCACAATCCACAATTTCATGGTCCAAGCCAAACAATATCCAAAGACTCATTCCCACTTCCCATTCCCGATAATATCCACTCCCCAACTTTCCACCCCTTCAACTTCCCCATTCGTCATTCCACATTCTAAGCACTCGCTCACTCACTCCCTAACCATCCATCCATTCAAGTTCCGCTCTCCACCAGAACCTCTCTCTCATGTTTCCTCTAGCCATGGTCAATGGTAGGCATTCCAATTTCCAAATCGATAAACATTCTCTTTTCTTCATTCTTCATCCTTGATCTTTCATCCTCCATCCTCCACATCCCAAACTCTCACACCCATCAGCATGCTACTTCACTCCCATCCACTCCCATACAATCTACATCGCCCTCCCTTTCCCCTCCATAGCCAAAACAAAATACAAACCTCGAATACCATCCAAAAGGACTTTGATAATCCAAATCTCTCTCCAATATTATATTCTCTATACATCTAGTTCTGATTACTCACATAAAGAACCCTCAAATCTTCGTTTGGTCTTTCCAGGTTTGAGTATTTAACTTGGAATAGATTTTGGATTCAGTAGAGTAGTCCTTTGAAAGGGGACACGATTCCCGTCTTTTATTTCGGTTACGTAGAAATAGATACTCATTGTATAGTGTAGCATTTCTTCTAGTTGTGGCAGATATTGGGAACTATATACCTAGTAGATAGGTATCCCGAATTCCGATTTTCGAATTTCCAAACAATTTAATCTCAATCTCAATCTTCAATCTTCAATCTTTCATCCTCTACATTCAAAAGTGCGGGTATAATCACCAGTACACCACAATATCAAGAAAATCCCATCCCATCCCATCCCATCCACCATCTTTATGTACGCTCAAACGCCATCTGCTCATCTCCCATTCCCCACCTCACCTCACCTCACTTCACCTTACCCTCACTCCTCACCTCACATTCATATTCACAAAACCCAGTTTCCCCTTACCCCCCTCCCATCCCCCTTCCCCAGAATCCTCATCGCACCACACTTCTTCAACCAACAAATCCCTCCAACTCTCCAGCTTCCTGTACTCCTAATCCCTAATCCCTAACTCCTCCTCACTACTCCTCCCTTCTCCATCCTTACCAATACAAACATATCCCAGAAGTCAATTATTCACACATACACATACACATACTCCTTCCCTTCCCTTCCCTTCTCCTCTCTTCCCTTCCCTTCCAACTCAAAACCACAAATACAACACATCCCAAAGAAGATATTAAATAGAATGAAAGATCAATGTTTTATTTATATCTTCTATTATCAATATTATCAATCTCTTTCTCTATAACTATTCATTATACAGATGATAGATCATCACATCACATCGCATTACTTTGCTTAACTTTACCTCAAATCTCCATCGAAAAAAGAGATACAGTACGGAGCAGGATATCGGACATCTAATCATTCTTGAGGTTTGAAATCGCTGAAGCGGAAGTGACGAGTGATTCTAGACACGGGAAGAGATGCAGAAATTGATATCTAAAAGTATACATGATACAATTTCAAGATCTAATTCCAACGATACAAAATTCTTTATTGATCTATACACCACTGCGCATAGCCATCTAAATATCTATATCTTCTTCTTTCCATGTAGGTAGTGTTCTGAAAACTGAGGAGCTGAGTCGCTCGCCCTTTTAACCTTGTTGTGAACATACAATCCCTTGAGTTTCCACTTCAACTCTATACATCCAAACATTAAACTCTTCCCAATATCTGATCCAAGATGGATTTCACACCAAACATGAAATCGATCATGATAGATTCAAACAACCTCCCACCTTACATAAAATCTCACTTCTCCACATGCAAACCTACCAACAACCTAAACCCCACATATCCACCCCATTCCCACTCTCATTCCGTTCAACAACGCCCTACCTCCTATCCAACCTATCATGCAAAACATTTTGTTTCATCAAACTCCCCACCCCCGCCATCAAGATCGCAAACCCTAGAGCCGTCAAGAAGACCCCCCTAAAAGCATCCATAAAACTTTCCGTCACACCTTCTTTCCAGCCCTCGGGAAGTTTGTTCAACTCATCAAACGAATCTCTAATTCTCCCAATGATTTCTTCCGCATTTGGTCGATCTCCAAATTTCTCCCACAGATCTGATTTGAGGATATTTTGATACACCGCACTCGCAATCGTGATACCTATTGTTGAGCCGGTGGAACGGAATGCATAGGATGCTGATGTGATGACCGAGTGATGATCATGCGATACTGCTGAGATAATAGCTAAAAGTGTAGTTGTGAGAGTTGCGCCGTAGCCGATTCCTGTCAATGAGAGATAGACATATATTGGCCAGTCTGGACTATTTGAATCAAGAGTTGCTAAAAGACCGGTTCCAATAACGAGCATTGTAAGTGTGATCAAACTGATTGATTTATATTTTCCAGTTCGATTCATGATGATTCCAGAACCAAGAGATCCGACAGAAGCTCCGATTGATTGAGGAATCAGACGCATGCCAGAGGCCGTGGTAGATTCACCGCGGACTTGATAATATAAAGGAACGTAAAAGATAATCATAAAGACGACCATTGTCACGAACCAATTTGTGAGACAAGCGGCGAGGACAGTACGATTTGCGAGGAGGCGAACTGGGATAACAGGTTCCGAGGCGATGTATAGTTCGATGTATATGAATACGAGAAGCGAAACAAGAGAAAGGGGGAGCGAAACATAGACGAGAGGATGATTCCAAGGGACGATATTCCCACCAGAATTAAGTCCCAGGAGAAGAAGGACAAGTGTAAGAATCAGCGCGAAAGAGCCCATAAAATCCACTCTCGATAATTTCGACCTCTCACTCTTCTTGGGAGGTATATTAACCAGACAAGCGACCAAGATTCCAGAAACGACAATAAAAGGAACTTGAGCCAAAAAGGCCATTCTCCAACCCCAAGTATCATTTATCCAACCTCCAAAGATCCCGCCCAAACCGGCTCCCGTCCCATAACATATATTTCCGATTCCCTGCACCACACCTCTTTTTCTCAACGGAACCAAATCACTTCCTACAAAAGTACTTATGGCCATCAATCCACCGCCTCCGCATCCTGCCACCACTCGCCCAAATATCATCACCCATTCGTTATCTGCTAATCCGCATATCAAATTTCCTGCCGCAAATAATACATTGCTCACAATCAATCCAGTTCTCCGACTGAAGATATCTGTGAGCCGGCCAGAAAGTGGTTGACAAGCAGCATTTGCGATGAGATATGCAGACGCGAGCCAGGAAAGAAGAGAGAGGGAATTGAAAGATGTGGAGATGCTGGCGGAGAGGGTAGCGATGATGGTTGAATCTAGAGCACCGAGGAAGACCCCTACCCAGATTGCTCCGAGGGTTATGATTAAACGCTTGGTGCTTAGTTCATTGGGGATAACTGTTGCTTCGGATGTGGAAGGGTCTTGGATTGCAGATTCAGATGGTGGTGATTGGGAGGGTAAAGTCGTGGGATCTGCGAGGAGAGGTGTTTCTTCATCTAAGTGGTTGGATGAAGACATTTTTGGGGGTGGGAGAACAGGTTGTGTACAGTTGATTGCTTGGTTATATATCTATCGATGTATCCTTGCAGCGTGAAGATCGAAATGAGAATGAAAAGACAATACATAGAACTATATATTACCCAAGATTCTAAAGATACAGCAGAAAGAGAGCAACAGGATTGATGTTTGTGGATAAGAGTCCGAGATACCTTATCATAGATTGGTGGATGGGGCAAACCATCAATCAATCACTCACCGACACCTTAACAAGTTAAGTTCATTTCGTATCTGATTGGGAGTCTGGTGGTCGATTCAACTTCTCTCAACCCCATTTTGTAATGAAATATCACGTCGGCGATGATAACCATTTGGAGGTAGTGCTGCACTTGTGGATAAGGGAAGATACTCCGTAGATAGATAAACGAAGTCTTTTGTCCTTGTTATCCATTTCTATATATAATAGCGCGAATGATGATGAATTGCATCTTTTATTGTAAGAGGCGTTCCTGGAGAATTTCAGGTGATCGATCTACTGATAGGTAATGCGACCTGATGATGGGAATGGCTTCAAACACGATGTGTATATATTCTCGGGGTCAGTATCTATCTATATCAGGTTGGTGGACTCTGTTACGGAATATACGATACATACGATACATACGAGATGAGGATTGACAATTGGTAGCTGTCCATGGTTTTAAATACACAAACTCATATATTCATAGGTACCCAATCATCCATCACTCATTCTCCTCCGTCACTCACATTCTCCTCACGCAGCCTTCACCAAGCCAGTCTTCAGCCTTCTCTTCCAACCCAAGCGTCGTTGGTTGCCCAGCCACACCAATTGATGATTGATTCTACTTCGTACATCCTACTGCGGATACTTAAAATAAACATGACACTTCAAAACCCAGCTATTACATCCACTTGATTCGTCCCAACCCCATCGAAACCAAGGAGCAACCAAGTTTCCCCAAGCAAGATTTCATGAGAAGAAGAAAAA